CGGGGCCGGCGCCCTAGGAGGCGGCGGCGGGAGGATCACGCCCCGGCTTGGAGGCCCGGCCTGCTGCGCGCCCCCAGCCGGACCCGCACCGCCACTTGCCTGAGCGCCCGGGCTGCGCCGCCGCCTCCGCGAGGTGAGTTAGGGTCGGGGGGTCTCCGCGGACGGCCTGGGGGGAGGCGCGGGGCGCGCTTCCGGGGAATCGGGGGAAGAGCGGGCGGCGCACGCGGCGGAGTTGGCGGGGCCCCTGCACTCCCGAGTTGGCGCTCTCGGGGGGTGGCCTGCTGGGAAGCGAGGCGCCCCATCGACACTGCGGCCCGCGTGCGTGGGGGCGCTGGGGAACTTAGGGGAACTCCAGCTCCCCAGCGAGGGGGCGGGAAGGAGGGAAGTGGTGTGGGGGTGGGCGGACGGGCGGGGGGGGGCCGCCAGGGAAATACGGAGGGCAGCCCCCCCACCGTGTGCCCCAAGCCACAGGGGCTTGGCTGCCGTGCGCTTGCCGCCTTACGTAGCAGCTTCGGACTTGGGGGTTACCACTGCGCCTTATTTTTCAGCGGGCGGCTTGGCTTTGGGGAGCCCCTGGAGATGGCACCCCCTTTTCCCCGCCCTGGCTGCTGTGGAAGGGCGCATGTGGGGCTCCTGCCAGCTTGGAGGGGGCGCGCTGGCCGCGGGCGCTCCTGGGCAGGGGACCAGAGGGCGCTGGGCGGGGGTCCCCCGGGGAGAGGCGCCTCTGGTCTCCCCCTCCCCCGCTGCCGGTGTTCCTGGTGTCTGGGCCTGCCTCCCGCGGCCGGTGACGCCTCCTTGGGCCGCCTCCTGGTCCCTCCCCCGGGCTGTGCGGATAGTTGGGATGCCACTAGTTTGCGAAGTTGGAATTCTGAGCTGATCCCACTTGGGCTGGATCGGAGGCCCCAGGCCCTAGTTGTGGGGGAACGTCCCCAGAGACCTGCGGGGAGTGGCGGGGGGGGGCACGTGGGGAGCGCCTTCCCAACCCCGGACGCTTGCAGGAAAAGGCTCGAGGGAGGGAGAGGGTAAGGCGGGCGGGCGGGAGAGACACGCAGTACCTGTGAGCTGCTGTCGCCAGGGCCCAATTAGCGTGGGGCGCCCGGCGTTATTTTTACATTGTAGGCTTATTTTTTGGGGAAGCAAGTGTCCTCCCGCCGCCCGTCGCGCGCTACGGCTCTCTGAGGGTCTGGTGCCGGCAGCGGAGGCGGATCTGTTCTGTCGGCTCAGCCTCCTCCCTTCCTCCTCCTCCTCCTCCCCCCCTGTTGGTGAGAACTGGTTTTATTATGATTATTATTATTTTTTTTCCCTTTTGCAGATTTGGAGGAAGGATGTGTGAGGGAGGGAGGGAGGCGGGAAGGGGAGAGGATCCCTGTGGGCTGGATGGGGGAGTTCTGGGCACGGTTGGGTTGTGTTATCGGTGGCCTTGACTTTGCCCTTTTTAAACGCGATCTGGGTCCCGCGCGGCAGCTTTGATCTCAGGGGCCCTGGGCCTGGCGGGAGCTGGGAGGGCCTCCCAGGGCATTGTTGTGTGCATCGTCGTGGGTGGCCTTTTTTTTCTTTTTGATTGGGCCGGGGTTGGGGGGGTGAGGAGAGAGCAATCGGGGAACCGGAGGATGTGAGCTGGGATAGCCAGCCATTTATCGCCGACTCTGCAGCTCAACTTCCTGGGTTCCAGTTTTACGTTTGCCACTTGACTTGCTGCCTGACCTTGGGCAAACTCCTTAACCGCTCTGTGCCTCAGGCTTCTCATCTACAAAGTGGGATAATAATAGTCCCGGGTTTATGGGGTTGTGAGCCCGGAGGAGAATAATACATGGAAGGTATTTGTATATGTGTCACTAGGGCCACTGTTGTTATTCCCGGGTTCTAAAACTTGGCCTTTAATCCAAGGTCTGGAAATGTTGTGAGATGTTGCCTGGAGAGTGGGGGATTTGGCGAGGGTAGTAGGGCGCCTTCCCACCCCGTCGGCTTTTCCCTTTGAGAATGAAGAAGGGCAGGGGGTGCCTTCTGCCCACTGAACAGATGCACAGACTGAGTCCGCTATGCTAGCGCGTGCAGGGGCCTGGAGCTGACGGTGCCCGGTGAACCTGTGGCTGCCAGGGCATCGGGGTGCTGTCTGGCTCCCCCATGCCCCCCCGCGCTGGCTGCCTTGTCCCTGATTGGAAATTTACCGCCGCCGGGTGCCTGGGGAGCCTTCGGTGCCCAGACGTGGGGGCCTGAGCGAGGGGCCCTGGCCCTGGCCTCTTCCCACTGAGCTATTGATGCTTGCTCAGGGATCAATACTATTGATGAATCCATGTAAATGGTAATGTGGCTGTCAGACCTGGTGAGGGATGGAGACCCCTCGTGGGTCTACGCGCACCCCTCCCTCTCTCCCTCCCTCGCCAGGGTTTGGTTACGTGGGAAGGATTTATTTGGCATAACCCACTCTTTCCCCCAATTAATAACACTCATACTACCCGCCTAAAGGTTTCTGAGGGCTCTGCAAATGCAAATTGAACTGCATGAAAGCCCCAAGCTGGGAGGGCTTGGCTGTTCCCTGGGAGTGGAGGGGGCCTGTCGGCTGGCACTCACCTGCTGGCTGGCAAGGGGGACAACAGCCCCAGGAGTTCTGGCTTCCAGCGTCTTGCCATTCAGACTGGATGTGGGGGCTGCCTGGCCTGGATTCCCCCTGACTGCCAGGTGGGGTGTACCTTGTTCTCTGTTCCCACTGGGGCCTGTGGGTGGAGCAGTTGGTGGTTCACTTTGAGGTATTTTTTTTGGGGGGCGTTCACAGCTTGAGGGGACATTTGTCTGTAAGAAGCCAGAGAGCTGGGGTTCTCACCCCTGCCTTCCAACAGCTCTACAAACAAAATCCCCACATTCAGTGCTGGCTCTGACAGTAGCGGGGGCGGGGGAGGGAGGGAGGGAGAGAGAGAGATATTCCCTTGTTGGTTTCATCTTCATCTCTCAGCCAACAGCATCCTACCCAGGTGACACCTCTGAGACTGGGCTCCCCGCAAGGGGAACAGCTAGCAGGAACTGGCAATTCCTGCTCCAGGTACACAGAGGAGGGGGTCCTGAGCAGGACCTGATCGGGACCTGAGCCTGGGCTGCTGTCTGGGGAGGGTCAGGCCTGAGATGTCATCTTAAAAGGCCTTGTCCCATAGATGGGTATGGGGGGTGTCCCATGGAAGTGATGCTTAGGAAAGGTCAGCTGACATGCTTTGAGAACCCTGGTGGTGGGTAATGGACTTTATAACGTGTCAAGTGAGCTTTTGGTCTAGGAGCGGGAAAATACTGTACATACGATATATACCAGGGGTGCCCAAAAAATGTATACATATGACTTGTAATTCATCTTTGTTATCCATATATATTGAGTATTACAATTTTAATACAGTTTTTTCCTTTCTTAAAAATATGTATACATTTTTTGGGCACCCTCTGTATATACCATATATATGCTATATATATTATATATATATATTATATATATGGTATAATATATATATATATCATATATATAAAATGCAGTGGCAATAACAGCCAACACATATAAAGCACTCACTATGTGCCAGTTTCTGCGTTCAACAGGAATCCACTGGTTTTTTTTTTAAAAAATATTTTTATTGGGGAATCGGGGAAGGGGAACAGACAAGTTGTTGTCCTTTTGTTCTTCAGTCTTGTTGTGGAGGACGTTGCTTCACTGGCCCATGTTGGTATTATCATTGCGCTCTTCCCAGGTGAGGCAGATTGGTCGCTGGCCCCTGGATGGCCGCTCATGGCGGCTCTTGGCAGCTCATGCTGGCTGCCGGCCACTCACGGTAGGTTATGGCAGCCTGCCGCAACTTCACTGCAGCCTACGCTGTCAGCGACTCACGGCAGCCCGCCCAGCTCCAGGTCGAGCTGTTGTTCACCATCTTAGCTGTAGAGGGCGCAGCGTCACTGGCACTCATGTGGGATCCGAACCGGGGCCCTGCTGCTCAGAGCTGGCGTCCCAAGCCAACTCCTAACCAACGTGCCACTCGGCCCGCTCAGGAATCCACTTATTTACTCTTTATTACCACCCTATGAGGTTAGTGCTATTATCCCATTTTATAGATGGTGAAATTGAGGCACAGAGGGGTTAAGTGACTTGCCCAAGGACACACAGTTTGGATGTGGTAAGACCTGGGGTTATTCAAGGTCACGTGGTGCAGCAAGAATTTACTGCAGACCTGCTCTGTGGAGCTGCCCTAGAGGATAGGAATAAAGAAATGATGTTTCTTATCTGAGCACCTAAAGATCTTTGCCCCAGGGAGTAGGAGACTGTGAAGGTGTTCTCCCCAGAATTTGGGGAGGGGGACGGTGCCCAGCCGCAGACCGGGCATTTCTTTGAAGTCTCATTTTATCTTAAACATTTATGCAAATTTGGCATTCCTTTTGGTGACAGGGCTGTTTATCTGGAAATGAAACATGGCTTTAAATTATTCAGCATGGTGTAAAGTGGGGCTCCAGAAAGCTGTACCAGATGCGCGCCAGGGCTGGCAGGGAGTCCCTGCGCTAGCCTGCAGCCCCAGGGGACTTGGTAGCTGGAGACCTCGAGAGGTCCTGGGAGGATACAGCTTTTTCCCATTTTACGGATGAGGGCACAGGTCAGGGGGCCAGGCTAGCCCAAGGTTGCTCTGTGGTGTGACTTGCTTAAGATGATTGAAATTGTCATCATTGTCATCATCATCATCTGTGTTTTAGACTAAAGGGAGCCTACCTGCCCCACGCCCAGCTGGCCTCAGGCTAGCCCTGGAGGAAGGGTCTTTTGGTTCAGAGATCTGTAAAGAGTTAACTCTGAACATAAAGCAGAACACAGGGTTTAGCGATCCTCACGAGGTGGCTGATTGAGTATTGCAAGTTCCCGTGAGTTCAAGTCCCGGCTTAGCATGCCCGGGGTCTGTCCTTCCTCCTGTCCAAGTTTAGGTGTCCTGGTCTATACAATGGGCTCATCGCCTACTGCCCTTGGGGTAGTGGAGAGGATCTTGGGGCAGAAAGCCTGAGTGATGGGTTTGATGTTCAGCCATTTGACTCTGGGCAAGTGACTTCTCTGAGCCTCAGTTTGCTCATCTCTGAGATGGGGATGATGACGATGGTGATACTTCTGACTTTTTGTTGTCAGGACCC